ATAAATCATAAATGAAAATCATAAAATGAAATTTTTTTTTTACTAGAAAATAAAATGACCTGCCAGGCTGCTCCACTGCTCGGTTGCTCCTGCTGGCTGCTAATTCTTGAAGAAGCCGAAGTCTGAAGCGCGAAGGTTGAAGCGCAGAAGCGATGAAGTTGGAAGAGAAGAACTTCTAGGTTCGAAAGTCGAAACCGAATGCTGAAGCAGTGAAGCCTCTGCCGGATTCTGCTGACTGCAGACTGGTTGAAGCCTTGAAGGAGAAGACTTCAAGCTTCGGCTGGTCGCCTGTTCCAGTTCGCTACTTCGCCGGATGGACTTTGCTCTGGCTGCTGATGGCTTGTGCTCAAACCGGAGGGAAAGGGTTTGGGTCTTTGGGAAGAATTCGGTGTAATTGCCTAATTGGGAATTAATTAGGTAATGGGTTTTTATTTGGGGTAATGGGCTACCGAGTTAATATTTATTACATTTGGGCTATTGTGAACTCAATTATTACATCTGAGCTTGGACTGCACTGGGCTGCCCACCCTTGAATCCGCCCCTGCTGCCGACCATAGGAGAGGAGGCGAAACAGTGAATTGAACTCGACTTTTGTCTACTTGAAACCACATCTAAAAAGCTCAGACAAATGAATTTGAATGATTTCATAACATATTTGACACAAACACGGATTTTGCTACTTGTACAATGTACATAATGAATTACATAATATGATTTGATTTGGAGGGAAAAAAATTGATGAAAAAGTTGATTATGCTTTAAATTGGCAAATGATAAAGTGTCACTTGACATTATGTAATCCATTGTGTAAATCTTAATGAACATGTAGCAAGATCTTTAAAAAAACTCAATTGTCTTAACTCTGATTTGACAATGAAGCTCTGTTTAACAGAAAAATATAGAATTAACAGTAAGTACATAACACATACAAGCTACTGGCTTATAACTTATAAGCTCGAGCCGGCTAAAGTAATAAACAGTAAAAAGAATGACAAAATTGTGTGTTTGTTTTTGGCGCCAATTTGTTGTTTCTAAACTCTCTCAGCCCTCAAGTATGCGGTTTCTAAACGCTGGGTCCCGTACATTTCTCAACCACATACTCGCCTAAATACTGTCGGATATAGGAACAGATTTAGTGTGGGTCCTAGTGAGTACCAAAAGTTCGAGTAATGCTATTTAACTCCATTGGAGTTGCAACCACAATTTATGTGGTATCAATTTGACATTAAATGATATATGAAATTAAATGACTCATTTAATTTTACATTTCATTTAGCATATCATCAACGTCACCTAGATTGTGATTACAATCTCAGTGGGACTACATAGCATTATTCAAAATATGCGGCATGTCAACGTAGAAGTTAGAGAAATGGGCCCACACGCTTTGCTCTTTGTCCGTCTTATGTAACGACGACGTGGATTTGAATGCCCTTTAATTTAATTATAAGTTGATGAAATGTATAGTTGAAAAGTTGCAGGCTCCATAAAATATGTTGTTAAAATTAATTGTTGAATTTGACTTAGATTAAAATCTGAATTTTAATTTTCACCAAACTGAGGCTTAGTTTCGACTTTCAAGTTAATATTCGAGTCGAATTTGAACACGGATCGATGACTTAATACAATAAAAAATAATTATAGTTTGTGTATAGTCTTTTCTTTTTATTTTTGTTATCACATACTTGTGCAGTTAATCTGATTACATATATTTTCTTTCAATACAATATAGGTAATAAAAATGATCTTGAAGACTCAAAAATACGAAAGCCAAAATTCTTATAAAACGGATTCATATTTGAAGAATGCTTAACTGCATGGGTAAACTAACACTAAACTGTAGTTCGAAATCCAAATTGATATTTTCTTGGGAAGATTGATTCATGCTAAAAAAATGTTCATCCTGCTGCTAATAGATTAGTCAAGAGAGGCTGGAAAAAGATCGAGTATTCTAACCAACGTAGGGAAGCACTAGACACGCAAGCTAAAAGAAAAAATCCTGCTGCTAATATAATAACATCATGTATAAGAGTCGAAATAGGAGTAGGTCCCTATAAAATTTTAATGTTGACAATGGGAATAAGCATGCACATATACATTTTCCAGTGAAACCCATGGAATCCATGAAATAAACATATATGGGCATATTTGATGCGTCACGATGAATTAGGTGAGATTATATTAATGTGGATTAGGGTCTAGGGATATGTTCTAATACTGCGTCTAGTGCGATATCGTATTAGACAAGTTTAAAAGTAACAAAATTTTAAAAAATGAAAATAAGTTTACTTATAAGTAAATTTATTTTTTACTTATATATAATTTTTTATTTATAAATAATTTTTCAGTTATAATTGAATTCTGTACCAAGTAATTTTTAACATATAAGTGAATTTTCGACTTACAATTGATTTTTGTCTTATAAGTGCTTTCTTACTTTTAAGTAAATTTTGAGTGACAAGTAATTTTCCTTTACACTTATAAATAGTGTTTTTACTTTTAATAAATATTTATACGTATATGTCAGTATTTAATAATAAGTAAACTTTTTTAAGCTTAAATGAAAATTTTACATATAAGTAAACGGGTGATACATGTACATAATGGGGTATTCATAACGGTGTCCACTCCCTCAAATGGAGAGGGATTCACTTCGAATAAAATATACTATATCCAAAGTGGTCCCCCTCCATGTGAGGGGGTGGACACCATTATTGACACACCATTATGTACAAGTAGCATAGTTCTAAGTAAACTAATGCAATATTGCCCATGTTATTCATCAATTTAATTACAAGCGTCAAATTCTTTCAAAAAGAAAATTTCAAGAGACTAATAATATAGTCTAAAGCCTTTTGAGTTAATTTAATATGAGGTGGGCATGAAACTAATCGGATAAAAATTATGAGCCGACCAGGAAGAGATGAGGCTCTATGGTCAGTCTCAAAAGCACAATTTCAAGGGCTTACGAGTACCGATGAGTTTGGGTTGGGTCTCCGATCTAGAACAAGAACCGAAGAATCGAATAAGAATTGAAACTAAATAATTTTTTTATTTTTTATATTGAATTAATTAAATTATTTTATTTTTTTCTAAACAAATTAGCAAATTAATTAAATAAATCAGATTATTTCATAATTTTAATTTTAAAGCCCAAATCATTTTTAAAGTTCATTAGCCCATTTTAATTTGAAGTAAATGAATATATTTTATGTAGTGTTCATGTAATATTAATATCTACTTTTTGGTATTTGTATGCATTGAATTAATCTTATTGGACGGTTATTTATTTATATGTTTTTGAATTGTGTTACGTTAATTTGTAAAAGTTACGAATGAAATGTCATTAATTGTATTTATGTAGTTTTAAAAAATTTAATATGGTTTCATAATTATATTTGGACCCGACGGTTCCATTTATTAAATACCCGAAAGTTTTGGGTCGGTTTGGGTCTCTTCATAACCGAACCGAACCGATCCACGGACAGCCCTACAA